GGCATCACAGCTCACAGCAACCTCCAACTCCTGGGCTCAAGAGAGTCTCCTGCCTCAGCCTCCCAAGTAGCTGGGACCACAGGTGCCCACCACAACTCCCGGCTATTTTTTTTTGGTTGCAGCCATCATAGTTGTTTGGCAGGCCCAGGCTGGATTCGAACCCGCCACCTTAGGTGTATGTAGCTGGCGCCATAGCCGCTTGAGCCACAGGCGCTGAGCCGGAACTGGGATTTTTCAAGGGAATATTTTGAATTAAGAATTCAGTTTGAATTAAGAATTCAGGTGGCGCCTGTGGCTTAGTGAGTAGGGTGCTGGCCCCATATACCAAGGATGGCAGTTCAAACCCAGACCCAGCCAAACTGCAGCAACAACAACAACAAAAAATAACGAGCATTGTGGCAGGTGCCTGTAGACCCAGCTACTTGGGAAACTGAGGCAAGAAAATTGCCTACGCTGAAGAGCTAGCGGTATCTCTGAGCTGTGATACCACAGTACTCTACCAAAGGCAACAAAGTGAGACTCTGTCTCTTTAAAACAAACAAACAAAAAAAAATTCAGTTTCTGGCAGCGCCTATAGCTCACTGGTTAGGAGACCAGTCACATACACTGAGGCTGATGGGTTCCAGTCCAGCCCAGGCCAGCTAAAACAGCTACTGCAACAACAAACAAAATAGCTGGGCCTTGTTGCGGGCACCTGTAATCCCAGCTACAAGGGAGGCTGAGGCAGGAGAATCACTTAAGCCCAAGAGTTTGAGGTTGCTGTGAGCTGTGAAAAAGAATTCAGTTTCCTTCACGGGTTCAAGACCAGCATGAGCAAGAGCAAGACCCCGTCTCTAAAAATAGACAGACATTGTGGCCAGTGCCTGTAGTCCCCGTTACTCAGGGGCTGAGGCTGAGGCAGGAGAATTGCTTGAGCCCAGGAGTTTGAGGATGCATGAGCTATGATGCCATGGCACTTTACTGAGAGCGACAAAGTGAGACTGTGTCTCAAAAAAGAAAAGAAAAGAAAAGAAACTCTCCACCCATCAGCTGGTAATCCCCTATCACTCTAAATCCTGGCCCCCATCTCTGATGAACCACTAATTAGCTTTCTGTCTCTATTGTTTTCTATTCCTGCCTCTGTATGAAGCAAATCATGTAATATGCGATCTTTTGTAACTGGATTCTTTGACTTATCATAAGGTTTTCAAGTTTCATCCTTGCAGTATTATGTATTAGTACCTCATTCACTGAAAAATACTGAGGTTGGGCACAGTGGCTCACACCTCTAATCCTAGCATTTTAAAAGGCCAAGTCAGGAGGATCAGTTGAGCCCAGGAGTTCAAGACCAGCCTGGGCAACAAATAAGACCCTATCTCTACAAAACTTTTCTTCCTTGGCTCTGTGCCTGTGGCTCAAGCGGCTAAGGTGCCAGCCATATACACCCAAGTTGGCAGGTTCGAATCCAGCCCGGCCTGCCAAACAAAAATGATGGCTGCAACCAAAGGAAAAAAAAATAGCCAGGCATTGTGGTGGGCGCCTGTAGTCCCAGCTACTTGGGAGGCAGAGGCAGGAGAATCCCTTGAGCCCAGGAGTTGGAGGTTGCTGTGAGCTGTGA